GCAGATTACAGAGTTCCTGTCGCCAGAGCTGATGCTATTGTGGTTCGTTCCACAGTAGTAAGTGAAAAGTACTTGGAGATCTTGGGAATTCAGGCTCTCTGTATAGTTAGGGCATTAAATGGGCCCTTCATCTCCCAAGCTGAAAATTGATGAGGCGTTTCTCAGGGAAAAGAGTGACCTTGAGGAATGGACTGGCTGTGTGCACAGTCCATTCTTCAGATCGATGAGACGAGAATTCCCTATCCTGGGCTACAAAGCCCCTGCCATGAAGAGACAACAGAGGTCCACCTGCATCTCTGATTGCCCAATAGGAAGTCTCTCATCACCCAGGGTAGAAATAAGTTTAATGTGACTTTCACACGCTGCTCCTGGAACTCGTGTTGAACATATCATGCTCTCTTGCAAGTTCCCTTTCACCAACTGAAAAAACATTTACAGAGGATCCCAAGATCCTGAAAACCTGCTTGGCTCAATACAAACATGTATATTTCAATGCCTGCCAAAAATGAGCAAGACTAACAGGAAAACTGAATTTTGACTGCAAACTGAATTTGATAAGTGTATTATCAACAGGAAAATGTGGCGCTGGTTTTCAGAGAGTAATATAATTCCAAGGAATTTTTTTTCTTAGAACAGCATCCAAGAGTCTGATTTCCTAGGGCCGGGAGGCCATATCCCAGCTGACTGTAGGATATCAGTAAATCACCAAGGAGGTGAGCCTCATTCTCCCCTCTCTTCTTACTGCCCTCAAGACAGAGGCCAGTAAATCCTACCTTTGCACCCCAAAGGGTGTGAAAGAAAAGTAGGTGTCTCAGAACAAGGTGTACTTTCACCACATAAGATGTAAGGTAAGAAATACAATTTGTAGAGGCTCTAGCAATGTTCCAGAATCCTTATAGTTGATCTAAATCTAAAGTAACTGACAAATTCATAGCAAATGGCTTTTAGGAACATCCTTGGAGAAAACTATGAACTCATAGGTTACAAATGAAATATTTACTCCTCAGAAGTACGCTACTTGTTATGTATAATAAGGCACATGGGTGGCCTACAGCCTTAACTAAACGTGTCATAAATTATATAGCATCAGGTAGAGAGCACCCTGTTCAGCATTTGCTTTGTATTACAGTTTGTGTTGGCTTCCAATTTGTGATTTATAATCAATTTTTAGGGTATTTTTAAGTCCTGAATGAAAGGTTTTTCTTTGCTTAAATTGGATTATTGAGACTAAAAGGCTAATCCCGCCTGGGCTCTGGTGACCCTGTGCCTTCTGAGGGAACTCACTGACTCTTGCCTAAACAAACTAGGGGTGAAGCCCTAGGTTGCTCAGCTTCTAAATTACCTATCCCCATCCTCCCTATGGAAGAGCCCCCTCCTGGCTCCACCAGGGCCCAGGATCAACCTTCCCCAGTGTTCCTTCTGTACCCAGACTTCCCGTGAGAGTCCAGAAACAACTCACCCTTCTTTTTTCTAAAGAATAAGTTGATTCTGAATATTTCAGGTGACTCTGGGGTGGCTTGGGTGTGAGGAGCAGGATTAAGATGAAAAGAGTCATTTTTCATAGACCCACTTAAAGTCGCTAAAAGAAAAGGAGAGCAGAGAGCTCCAGAACAATCAAACTTACTAGGGGAGGTCAGTGGACCAGGAGGCAGTCTGGCTTCAAACAGACCTTCCTGTCTGACTGCGGGTTCCTGTCCCCACTGAAAGGAAAGGTCTCAGGGTGCGGCGGAAAGAAAATGTTTCTCAAACTTAAGGAAGATGTGATTCTGTTTTAAAGAAAAACATTTCCAAGGACCTTTGGTTTTGAAAATCACTTTGATTATAATCTTACTTATTATATATGCACAAAAAATTCATTTGCACTTTATGTTTAGCATTCCCACAAAACAAATAAATCAAAGCAAGTTTACACGTGAACGCCAACCTAACTACACAACCAAAACACTCAAATGACAACATTAATTGGGTGTGATGAGGGATGGCATTTTGTAGAAACGAAATTCCTGCTACTGGAATACGGAATAGTAGGACATATTTGCACTTTATACTTTGCTTGTTATTAACTGAATTTTCTTGAGTTTTTGCATAATGAACAACCCTTTTAGCCATTACTATTGTGTTTGCTGTTTATTGGGGTTTTTAAAAAGCTTTTTATCGTTTAATTTGTTTTAGTCACTGATGGCCCAACTGATTGAATGGTGAACCCTCAAAATATAATATTGAGGAAAAAAAATGTTTTAATGAAAAGTTCTTTGCTGCCTATTTATGTCTAAAGTTGTAGCTAATGAACTATTGCCTATTAGTTTCCTAAAGTTGAACATGCTGCCAATGGCCAGGCTGCCGGTTCTTTGGAGTTCAGATCTGTGCCACTCCTATGTTCCCAAGTGGTGACTTGTCTCACCCATCATTGTTTCTGTCTGAACTCCTGGGAAACCCTTGTCCATACAGGGAACAATCCCTTCTTATGACCTTCCCTTGGAATTCATCACATCAACACAATACCTGTGTGGCTACAAGAAGACATGGCAGGATTCCTTATGGGACTTATCTAGGTGATCCACAATGGGTTTACCTTGCCATTTCTAGAAGATAATCATCAAAACGAAAACCTACAATTTTTAAATTCTTTTATGACTGTTGGGCACATGAAGAATGTCCATCTTGAGATCCATTGCCCAACATTGGCATCCTACAGATGGTGCCGGGACAAGTCAGAGGCCCTGAGCTAGGATGAAACCAGAGCACGACATGACGGTTTTTGAATCATGGAGTGCTGTTGATGGAAAGGGCCTTAGAGATCTTCTAGGGAAATCCCCTGAGGCTGCAGACAAGGAAACAAAGGCCCAGAGAGGTCAAGTTCTCTCAGGTTCACTTATACATGGTGTTCCCTTCAAAATTTCATAAAAATGGCCTATGTGTTTTTATCGTAACTTTCAGATACCCACTCTTCCATCCGCCCTTGTATCACTCAGCACAGTTATTAGACATAGGGTTTTTGTGCACATTATTCTGTAAAAACTACAACTCCCTGAAGAAGAGTGACACACCTTAGCCCAAACCAAATCCCACATTAGACTTGCGCTATATTCTCACGTTCTAAGAGTGCACCCCAAATCCAAGACTTGCTGAAGCATTTGAGATATGCAGGAACCTCACCACTCCATAAAACTGCACGTATACATAAAAATCAGCAAGTGTTCCAACATCTTATTTTGAAGGAAACACACTGATTTTAACTGGATGGTGCAAAGCTCACAATTTCTACTTAGATGAATTTGCTCACACATGGTATTGTTCAAGGGTAAATCTGAAATAAAGAATATGTTTAATTGGCATTAGTGACTTCTTTGGGTTGTTCTAGGGTTAATTCTGAAGAAAGAGCATTATTCCCACTATGACTGTGATGCACAAAAGGATACACGTTGAGTGTGGATGAATGAAATCCATTCGTTCACATAGATATGCAAAAATTGATAAATCCATAGTGTGGTAATAGTGCCACATCTTTATTATGCAAATAAACTATGTTTTTAGGGATTTTATGGGTTTTGAGCATCAGTGTGTGTGTGTGCCTTTAGCAGATGACAAGCATTCTTCCTTCCAAGATAATAAACATGTTTTCTGTTTTTTCCCCTCTTTGCTGAATGCTGAGTGAGTGTGTTTTAATGGATGAAGCACTAGATTCAGAACAGGGAATCCAAAGTCCTGCACTGTGGACTGTTGGTAGTGTGACCTTTAGCAGTCCACACAACTTACTAGGGGCTCTGTTTCTTTATCAGTCACATTTAGGGGTCAGAGATGATGCCCTCCAAATTCCCTTATGTAATTCTGGTTTATGATAGTTTACCTTGTTTCTAACATAATGAAATTAATTGTATGTGATTGAAAAGAAGGTTACCATCATCATTATACAGATGTAATAGTCCAAACAGGTTGTAAAATTCTAAGGAAGCACCCTGTTTTTTATTTTCCTGTGTACTGGAAGCCAAGATATGTATAAAAGGCATTAAAGTTTGCTGAGCCATAAACATTCAAGGGAAGAAAAAGCCTGGAAAAAAGTCCCTTTCTGGATTATTATATTAAAGTTTATATTTTATAAATGTTTCTCACCTCACCTGAAGAAATAGGGAATCTAAGAATTCTGGAGTAAAATAGATTATATTATTTTTGTAGACATGCATGTGTGCATTTAAATAAATTGAATTCTTTCAATTTAAATTGAAAGAAACAAGAAGTGGTCTCAAGCTAAAATAAGACAGATCGGAACTCTTGTCTTCTAAAATTTTCTTACAAGTAGAGGTTGTGGAATACAGGAATGAGTTACTAGACAGGCTGTAGAATTTCTTTCTTTGGTGGGTTTTAAAAACAGAATAGACAAAGATCTGCTCATCTGCCCAAACTGGATTAGGCTGTACAGTGAACTCTTAAGGACTCTTCAGGTCCTGCAATATTAAACGCTCAGATGCTTCTTTCTTGCCTGCCAGGGTTCAGTGTCAAAGTCAGCATAGTGGTACATTCACAGAAAACCTATTTTCCTCTTTACCTTTATTTGGAATTAAACATGAACCAAGCCCATCAGAACCACTGCAAAGTATATTTTTTGGAGTGAAGATTTTAAACATCATTTTGTTTAGTGTTCAAAATATGCTAGAAAGATCAGATGGCCCACAATCCAGAATTTGACATTGTAGTATTGGGTTCTTCAAGAAACACTAGCAAAGAAGTACATTAGCAGAGAAGACTTGCCTTCTTAACTGACACAGATGGGGGAAAACATTCTGGAAAAGTATTAGATAAGGTGTCACAAGACCTAGGTCTCTTGATGTTAAAAAAAAACTCTGTGATCTTGGGCAACCTCACCAGTCTGGGTCTCAGTTTCCATATTTGAAAATGAAGATATAGAACCAGATAATGTTCAAGTTTATTGCCTGGTCTGTGATTCTTCTAAATATTCCCTCATTGAATTGATTCTCTACTTCCAGGAAACACTTTGTCATTTGTTTTTTTAAAATGTTTATTACAGATGAGTTTGTGGTCTCTTTGCATGTACTTCTAGAATTCATGCTAATGTTATCTCTACCGAAAATTGTATATTTGCACCCACTTATCTGCTCCTGCAGATTTCATACCAAAGTCTGGGTTTCCACAACACACTTCTGTTTGGCATCGTGCTATGGTTGCCTGTTGCTCATAGTTGTCTGGAAAAGTCTTGTCTCCAAATCACAGTGGCTTTCTTTTTCTTGCCCTGAAGCAACAAGTGATGGGAAGAAATATGTATTTGTTTCTGTTCTTCAGAGGCAGAGCTGCTTCAAGCGTAAAATTCTTAGCCCAGTCGTTTAATTCAAATTCAATGAGTCACAAAGTAAATGCAAACTGTAGACTGCATATTACGGGAAGGGTGCAAGTTAAATTAATTTTTTAGAACCAGATTGTATTAGTTAAACCTAGGATCCTAATTTGTGCTGACAAAAATGTCAGATTAGCCTACCAAGGTGCCTAAGACTTACTGCCTAGATAATAGCTGACAATTTGAACTGGGTAGTTTATGGATTGGTTTGTATCTAAAAAGCAGACAGCTTTTAAAAGCCTTGAATAAAGGTTGCTTTCTGTGGACACCTATGGTGTGACTATTTATAAAAGTACCCAATCATTTTTCTCCTCCTTTAAAAGTGCTATTGGCCAACTAAAGCTTGGTATTTAATCCATAACCCGCTATGCACTGCACCCTACAGGGGTAAAAAACACACAAAGCCAGAAGAAAGAGATCAAGGAAGCATTAAAAATGTCAGGCCACAAGACCATGTTTAAATTATTAGGTGAGATGCCGTCTTGCCTTTAACAATGGCCTCGGCACACCTTGAGGCCCAACTTCCTTTCTCCTTGGATGTTTTGACTGGTTATTGCAATCTGTTCTGAAATTGAATTTCAGTTTGTTTCAATAGCATTTTCCAGTAAATAGGAGTGACTCTGGTATCTCATTTGTGCATCTTGATGTAATAATCAGAGGTAATTGAAGCATGCACAAGCTGCAGAGACTTATGACATGTTTTTAAATAAGTATTGACTGATATGAAACTAATTTAACAAAAACTGGAAATCGGACTCCTCTAAGAAGCCGTGCACAGAATACAGGGTCTATTGCAATTGCACTGAGTTTGACTTTTAAAACGGTATGTTCAAGTTTCCTTACCTTTCCTGAAGGAGTTGAGGTGCAAGTTACTAACAGGCGAGGTTGTGACCCAATGACTAGAACTAATCATCTGATGACTGGAATTAATCATTTGTCAGTCCTGTGGTTTGGATTAACCAGGGTCGGTCATCCCCTTGTGCTTTGGTGGCCCCTACAGATAAGAAAACCTCCTGGTAACAGAGGCAAACAAAATGAATTTCAAATGACAGCATTTTGTGTAAACTAGTACAGGTTTAGAAACTTTTTATTTTGGAAATTAATCATCCTTAGATAATATTGTAATCTTTCGTATGCTCAGATGTACACAAACATATGTACATATAGACATATGCCATGCAGTCAATATATACATCCTCTGATTGCAAAGTGACTGCCAGACTTATATTCCATTTTAATGGAAGTTAGATACTAAAAAGGAGAAATGAAAGAACAAAACCTATAATTTGCATCTCTAAGCTGTACAAGAGACAAAGATTATTAGAGCAGGGCTACTATTCTCCTTAGCCTCTGGATCTAAAGGGAGGTGAAAAGCATTCGTAGATAAGAATTTGAAATTCAAATGAGGGAACAAGAAGTCAGTCTAAAATGTTGCCCTCCACAGATACTGACCTTAAGTAGAAATGGTGGTAGATTTTGATTTTTATGCACTAAAGAAAAGAGAATGAATGATGTGTAGAAGATTGGTGATACAAAGGAAGCATAGGAAATCTTGTGATGCTTGTCACCTAATTGAAGGAAGTAGAGGAGAGTGATAATGCAAAGAGAGAACAAAACAGGGAGAATAATTAGCTTCATTAGGCAAAACTTACCATTTATATGTGTCTCGAACACACACTGGTATCAGCTGGATTGAGACTTTATGGGGAGCAAATTTCTTTAAAAGATAATGAATTGCAGCTCTTCAACGTACAGTGTGAAACATGTAAATGTCACCCTAAATACCTCCAGGGATTCGCAGAAAAGTTGAGATCTAAACATTCTATTTTCTAAACAGAAATCTTGAAGGTGTGGACCTCGTTAGAGGTATCATCCCACCTGTGGAAAGTGAACCAGATAGGCTCAAGGTAAACATCTAGGGATTTATAGACGTAATACTTATTATCACTAATAGGCATTAGGTAACTAAATCCCAGAACGTCTAGGTGAGACTATGCCCCTAAGTATTTGGTGTGCTCTTCTGAAGAGATGTTGTTGTCATTACGGCTATTTTAATAAGGTTTAATGTAATTGGAACAAAAGCAACACACCCCAAGCTTTGCGTTTTCCCTAAAGTGATTTATGTCATTAATAGAAAAAATTTCTGAAGGTATAAGGTATTCTTTTCCAGAACTATTTACTAAACAATTTAGAAGATTCAGTTTAAATGTTGTTAAAAGTATAAATATAAAATAGCTTCTCTACCTAGGTTGTGTGATACTTGTTCTAGTTTTTCTCATAGATTCATCTTCTTGATAAGCATGAACATATTCCCAGAGAAACAGTACTGTTTTTGATTCTTAGAAAAATTCAAGGTAAATAGAGAAATGCATTTCCTTCCCATAAGAAGTATATATTTTATCAGGGAAATAAATAAAGTATGGCAAAACCACCCAAAAATTGTCCCAGTGCAACTTTTGGCAAACATTAATTACTTGGCTGCTACTGTATAACTAAGGGTTTCACAAATCCAAGTGGAGGGACATTTACAGGTGACTGAGTATGAGAAAAGCTTCACAGAATAAATGAACCTTGAGTTGGACTTTGAAAGGACAGGCTTTGAATCAGCAGAAATAAGAAAAGAGAAATTTCTAGGAAAGAGATGCCAAAAAAATTCTGTGCAGTTATCCTTGAAGGAGGGACATCAGGACAGTTGCCTTTATCCTTGGGAAGAACTAATACTGTCCCAAGGGTGGTAAATGGGGAGGAACTAGCCAGGGGATGGTACTTTCTGTTTGAGTTCTGCTTTAATACGAAAACCCTGCAGCTCAGACCTGGGTCATACATTTGACCTCCAAATCGCCCTTTCTAATTTCTTTTTTATTCTGCCATTGATCTACAGGGATCCATATTTTATCGTCTTACTGTTTTTAAGATCATCACCAAAGCGCATTTTAACCAGATTTAAATGCTATTTTTTACAAAGTCTAAGTTAAAGTAGGAAGGAAACGCACTGTGTTGTTTGCAGCCGGGGAAAGCGTGGGCTCCGCTCTCCCTTGCAACAGCTCTGAAGTTGTGAATGGGCAACGCGTGCTCAAGAGACCATGGCAGACATGCTGCTATAGAAATGTTCTCAAATTATCTTCAATTGGCACAACTTCCATTTCTTTTCTTTTTCTTTTGTTTTTTTTTTTAAAGAGACAGGGTCTCACTTTGTCACCAGGCTGGAGTGCAGTGTTGCGATCATAGCTCACTGCAGCCTCAAACTCCTGGGCTCAAGTGATCCTCACAATTCAGCCTCCTGAGTAGGTGGGACTACAGGCTGCAGGTGTGTGGCACCATGCCCAGCTAAGTTTTTTTATAATTATTATTTTTTTGTAGAGATCTCACTATGTTGCCCAGGCTGGTCTTGAACTCCTGGCCTCAAGTGATCCTCCCACCTCGGCCTCCCAAAGTGCTGGGACTACAGGCGTGAGCCACCACGCCTGGCCGGATTTCTTTTACCTTCCCCATAGCACTCAAGCTATTGATTTACTTCCTAGCTACTGGCAGTGAGGTCCAGACTCAAGGATGTGGAGTAAGCTCTTTCTATATCATTCTTTCCATTCCAGACACCTCTGTGGGACTCTGGGTGAAAAACTCAGAAGTTAATTCAATCGATTCCCTAGTCAAGTCAGTAAAGAATTGCCTGTGAAAGCAGTGGATTCACAAAATCAACAAGCTGTCCCGATAGTGATGGGAACACAGCTGCAGTAGAGATGTTCTCAAGTGTAACAGGACACTACCTGTTCACTCTCTTTTTCCAAGCCTATAAAATAGCAACAAGCATAAAAGCTCTTTCAGCTTTTCAGAAAAAGAGTGCTACATAAATATAAGCTATGACTACTTTTTTCGCTGAAAATTATATATGTCACCCACGCTAAGAATACTTTCCTCCTTAATTGCAAAGCATAATGGGACTGGAAATCAAAGCTTTTGCTAATAGTCTTTTACCATTTGTACAGAACATTTCCATGGAAGAGATCAATATTATTACTGTTCAAACATTTGCGCAGCCTGTGTTTAACATGCCTGTCACACATTAAGGAGAAAAAGTGTATTGGAAGACATTGGATTTAAAGAAGAAAAAGTAGAAAAATATCAAGTTGAAGTTATTATTTTTAGTAACTGTCAAATTCACCATTAATTCTGTTTCAGTCATATTTGAACTGTTAACCTGTGTTTCTGAGTGTATATTTGTCAGCAAATAATTAGGGAGGACTTCCTTAGTAAGTAATTGATATAAAGGCCATTTGGCTTCTAAATTTACAGAAGCCTATTTTAAGGTTAAAAAATTACAAAGGTTATGCATGTGTTTAATTAGTGAAAATGGGTATTTTGCCTATGTTTGGGAAGGAGGATTATTACAATCTGAGTCATTAAGAAAAGTATCCTGAATCAATGACATTTGTACAGTGCAGCAATAATCTTACTATATTACACCCACACAAAAATGTTAAATGGACGATAAGATTTGGCACAAAATTATGTAGTAACATGAGGAGGGAGAAACAGAAAATCCAGCATAGAAATTAAGCAGTGACAAAAAATAGGCATTTTCTCTGTCTAGAATTTGGAGTTCTTGGCTGGCATGCCTAGTTTGTAAAAGAAAAATCAGCGGAATATATTAAATGCTTTCTGTGGCATCAGAAAGCCAACCCTCAAAATAGATGTGGAAAATGCTTGTGTTAAATTGTCACCCAGGCATTTCTTTGGTTCCCTGGCTCCTGGGCCCATCTACAGGAGACCTAGATCAGTCCCCTACCTTCCACCCCAAACCTCTCTCTATTTCCTGGATCCTCACTCTGAAGAGCAATGGTGGTGTCTTCATTGCCATAACAAAACTGGCAAGACTTCTAGATTGGCTCATCCAAAATTAACAAGAAGGGCAAAGGCTAGAGGGTGCAGGAATGGAAGGAGAGGAAGGTATAAAAAAAGGGTTTAGAAGGCAGAGCAGGGTAGAAGTCTAGCCATCCATTCTTCCCTCTGTGGCACAGACACTACTCCAAGTTCCCAACACACATTACAGAGCCCCGAAATACATACCCACTTTTCAAAGTGCTTGCCAGCCCTATCTTGCTAAAACAATGATAGCTCAAAACCTTCGAGCAATTAGAGAAGTGGTTTCTTTGCTTATCTGACCTTTTTTTAAGATGTTAGCCTAATAAAAATGAGTTCTTTAAATTTTTCTCTTCCTATAATACCATAAAACCTAGAGACTTATCAAAGGGAAATAAAATATAGGGGCAGATAGCTGCAGGCCTATCAATGTGGAAGAGGAATTAAATGTGGTCTTAGGATCAGCAGGTGGGAGCTACATTAAATACTAAAGAAACATTTGCTCAGGGAACGAATCTGAGGCAAAGTAAGGAAGATTTGGAATCATCACCAGGGCGTCAAAGATGGAATGAGCTTTCTGTCTGGACTTGGGGCATTTCCCCTTCCTGTAGGTTTCTGAGCAAAGCTGATCAATCCCGTGGTAGGAATCTCAAATTATAAGTAGATTTTGATCATTGCAAAGACCCATTTCATCATCTCCTAAAAAATCAGATGGAATGGTTTGCCTTTCATCAAAATACAGTGGAAAGTTCTGATTCTTCTATTAACTGGATTTGAAATATTGTTCCAGTCCCTTAAGTATTCCTGGCTTCAGTTTTCTCATTTATAAAATGCAATATTGATCTATTATCTCTTCCCACTGTAAAATACTGCTGAGTTCTATTCACGGTGGTCACCTTAACTCTAAGCAGTAGAGCCAGGCATTCTTGATTCCTGCCCTCAGAGAGACAAACTAGACCAACCCACGCCAAGTGCATTTGTCAGCCTCGGTTGAGTTCATTTTACCAAGTATAGGCACAGTTTTAGGTATCAGTATCGTAGTTGTTTAGCCAGAAACAGTTGCTAAAACAGTTTTTCATAGCATGGATTCAAATCAAATCCCTAACATTCAATGCAGAATAGGAGAAGGAAGTAGGTTGCCAAATTTCTATCTCTGTCTTCTCAAATTTATGTCGTCATCTACAAAGTTGATTCCCTCCCTGAATTTTTTATTCCTCTTATCTGTGTTAGTGCAAAATAAGTGACTTTTCAAAATAGCACATAGACAGTACTTTATGGCGGCACTAATTCCATAGGTATTATGTAATAAAAGGGTCTTGTGATCAATAAGATTGGCCTATGTTAGATTAAATCAAGTTAAGTCAAGGTTTCACCACTGTGGGACTTCTTAGAGCCCTTAACATGTTGATATAAATTGCAAATATTCATAAAAAGAACATTATACAAAGCATTTCCTAGATAATTTGGGGGGAAAAAAACCTACATTTTTCCCTTGAAGCATTTAATAAGCCTAATACTAAGAGGAACACGTTTTAAGAAATCTAGTTCTATACTATTTCTACTTCCTACTAGAAAAAAAGGGTAAAGGCA